CTTGGGCAGCAGGTAAGAGCCTGAATGACAACAATCCAGAAATTCAGCATTTCCATCCTTCTCCAGGGTAAAAACGGAGCTGTGATGCCTTCATGATGAGAAAGATGCTTGGTTTTTTGTCTCTCCCAGGATGGAGAAGTCCAGGCAAAGCTTTGCCAGTGTCCTGCTGGTGGTGCTGTGGGTGGGGATGTGCCTGGCTCAGCACTGGTCCTTTGGGCTGCAGCCAGGAGGGAAGAGGAGCACTGAGGGCTCATTCCAACAGGTGGGTTCTGGACTGGAAAACAAACCCTGAGCTGCTAAAAGTGCAGCCAGAAAGAGATGGTGCCACAGGATTTCCTGGAGACCTGCCTCCTTCCCCTAAAACCTGTCTCCTTGCCCTAAACATCCACAGATTTGTGCATAAACATAAAAATAATTGGTATTTAACAGCCTGGCACAAAAAAAAAACCCTCAGCAACCTTTAAAGACCTTGGGCAGCCACCTCCAAGGGAGAGATGGAGGCTTGAGGTCCAGGTTAAACCTGGTTTCATCCTCTCCCTAATTTCCAGCTGATGTTCTGATGGGATGTTTTATGGGGATATTCATCCCCCCCCCCCCCGCCCCTTAAAATTCTGGCAACTGCCCCATGGTAGATGGTCAGGAATTAAATAACAAAGCACTTGTTTGCCCATCTTTGCCAACACTTCACGTCCAGTCCCTCCCAGCAGCACTTCCAGCATCCCTGTTTTCAGCTGCTGCAGCCCTGGGGGGGGGGGAAAAGGTGAATTTTAAGTCGTGCAGTGGAACAGTTTCATCCTCACCTGTAACTGGGCTGGAGCTGCTTTGGCAGCAAGATCTCCTCTCCTGAAAGGCTGTGCCACTTGCCAAAACAGATTGCAAAGGAAATGGAGAAACTGGGAGAGGTGCAGCAGCCCGAGTGCCCTGGATCATCCCAGCATTCCAGGCTCAGGGATCTGAAGGAAGCCATGGTGAGTGAGACGCTTCTTCTTTTACCAGCATGGAAAAATCAGGGGAAAATACAGCAGGGAAGAGAGAAAAAAGGTGCTGGAGGAGGAGGAGGAGGGAGAGGGGTGGGAGTTTAGTTCACATGAGGCGATTATTGAAGGATCCCAGGAGGGTTTGGGTTGGAAGATCTTGTTCCTACACCAGACCCTTCTTACCTGCACCATTCCCAAGTCCTTCCGGGGGCAAGGACACATCATTGTCGTGGCAGAGGCTTTAACTCCCTGCATTAAAACCAAAACAAAGCTGAGCACGCTCTGCCTTAACCCAGAGCTCTCACAGCTGCTCAGCTTCAAAGGAATCCCTGCCAGCTGCAGGATCCACCAGATGGAAGCTCCCGAAATCCCCCAGGCTGGGAAATGCATTTTCCAGCAGATGCTCTAAAGCAGTGACAAGCACTGACAGCACGGGCTCCTCCTCCTCCTCCTGCAAGTTCCTTGCCACACAACGAGGGCTCTGTAAAATTAAAAAAAAAACACCCAAAACCGGGTTCTTTAATTAAAACAGAAACACCTTGGCCGGGCCAGATGGTCCCCATTTCCTGGGGAGTGTCCCTGAGACAGCCTAAAAGCTGCACCACTCGCTCTGTGCTTCACATCTACAGCCAAGAGCTGAAGTTTTGAGTGCCTGAAACGCTCCCCAGCCTTTTTCTGGAGGAGCCTTTGGCCTGAAACAGGCTCATCAACTCAATAATAACAAAGCAAGAGTCTGGATTTTCAGGTGGAAACCGCCTCAATAAGTATTATTTTAGGTCACTTAAACACTGTTTGTACTGAATATGTATTGGAGTGGTGGTCCTTGTCTGGCTACCTGCAGATTGAAGAGCCAGCAACAATAATTTAGTAGGTTTAAGTGTTTTTTTTTTTACTGCAAGAGACAAGGTTAGGCAAAAGGAAAATAAATATATAGCAGAGTAACAACCAGGATATTTGAAATGAGTCCTCACTGAGGGAAACCTGCCCTGTCTCTGCAGAGCTGAAGGGACAACCAACAAAAAACCCAACATTTTCCCACAGTTCATCTCTCCCCCCAAAACCCAAACTCCGAGGAGCAACAGAAATAAATATTCACCGTGCTGGTCACTCATTTTTGGGGGCTGGAAAGGGCCATTCTGAGCGTCAGGCACTCTAATCCTCCTTCCAAAGCCACCCCACAGCGTGGATACTCCAAAATTCCACCATCCCAGTTATTCCTGCTCTTTAAAACAAGAATTTGGTGTGGGGTTTTTTTTTTAACAGGAACTTGATATTTACAGGAATATGGTGTGTGTTTATAAGAATATAATGTGTTTATAGGAATACAAGGTCTATTTACAGGAATATGGTGTGGGTTTATAGGAATATAATGTCTATTTACAGGAATATGGTGTGGGTTTATAGGAATATAATGTCTATTTACAGGAATATGATGTGTTTTTTGCAGGAATATGGTGTGGGTTTATAGGAATATAATGTCTATTTACAGGAATATGATGTGTGTTTGCAGGAAAACCTGATGGAAGGGGAAGGAAGAAGAAAGGTTTAAAACCCAAATGGATTTAAAAATCCACAATAAGGTTTTCAAAGCTGGGTCAAACCCAGCTCCTCTTCACGTGGTCTCTGCTTGGGTCATTACGTGAATAAATGCTGTGAAGTTGCATTGAAGTTGTTGTGTGGATTTTTGGATTAAAAGGAGAAACATCCCCAGGGCAGAGGTGGGAGCAGCAGCACAGGCTCTGCTTTGGGTCCTGAAAGGAAAATCTTGCATTTACAGATAAAAACACTGCCAGGGCTGTGGGTAAAACAGCATCAAAACTTTGTTAAACCCCCCCCAAAAATAAACTTATTGCTGGGATGGAACTCCCCCCACGCCTCAGGGTACGTATGAAAGACTTTTCTGTGCTCTTTGGTTTATTTTTTTCTTTTTTTACTGGTTCAGTCATAAAAACTACATTTATTTTAAAAAGGTATTTACAAACTTTACAACAGTCAACACAATTAAAAAACAAAACAAAAACAAAACCATGAAAGTTTATACACCTTGCTTTACAGAATTAGTGAGTTGGGTCCCACAAGCTCCAAATTCTCCCGAATCCACAGCCAGGTTTATCAGGATTAAACCTTTATACCACCACAGTGAGAAATTATAGTAATGAATAACCATGTACCTGGATTTTGGAGCTGCTGAGGAACTTCCACCTCTGTTTAAAAATACAAACCAGATGGGAGAAGTAGATTCTGGGAGTGCCAAACTGTCCTAAAAGGTGCTTTAATTAATGTTAATGGAGCAGAATCAGGTGCCAGTGCAGGGAAATCACATTACTGTTTAATTTTGATCGGAAAAGCTCACCCTGATACACCAGAGAATTTGGTCTGCAACAAAATGTAGTAAAAATGAGAGTGTTTTTAATTTAAAAATTAAAATTAAAAATCAAAATAAGGCAGCAGAAATGGGTCAGGAATGTTTTCACTATATATATATGTATATATATATATAAATCAGTTACATTACAGATTTCAACTTATTATTTCCATTTACAACCCGAAGAATAAATAAGGAGAGAAAATCTGAGCGTGGTGGGGGGAGGAAATCACTGCAAGGCCAACTGGCTGTGAGTCTGGAGCCGTCATTTATTCCACTCCCCAAAACCCCTGCCCATCCCTAATCCCATCATCTCCTGAAATGCCCCTTCCTGCCCTGGATGAGAGCCTGGAACGCCTTCACACAGCACGAGCCCTTTTAATTAAAAAGCTCCAGCAAACATTTCTCCAGAGGGACAGAAAAAATTAAAAAGCCTCCAAGACTGGAAGTTTGACACCAGCTTTGAACAGCAGGGCTGTGAAACGGGGACGAGGTTTGGTCTTCTCTGCGAGGCTGGGTGTTTAATCGGGAGATTTGGCATTTAAAACCCTAAATTGGGTAAAAAAAATGGATTTTTTTTTTGGTTTGATTTCTCATATGCAGGGAGCATCGTTATCGACCATCCTGCTCCTATTTTTTTTTGGCCCTCTGGTTTAAAACATTTGGAGGCATTTCCAAGAGCAGCCAATTCACATGAAAAGGTAATTCTTGTTCAAAAACTAAGTGGAGACACCTTAAATGGTCTCTGAAAATTAAACCTCAGAACTCAGGCAGAGACTGGAGCAAAGAGCAAACACCTAAAAAAACAAACAAACAAAAAAATCAGGGCTCTAGTGGGATTTCTCATAAATGTGGGCACTTAATTCCACTTAATTAAAATCAGTCAGGCCCCAGGCTTAGTCACACAATTAAATGCCCAACTGCCTTTAAAAACCTGAGAATTAAATGAGGGTTTTTTGGGGGCTTCTGCCTGATCTCTCTCTCTCTCTTTTCTATTTCTTTCTCTCTCTCTCCATTTCACATTTACAGTTAAATCATAAATATAACATCGACTTTGGCACGTGGCCTTAAAACACCTCAATTCAGGCAGAGGCTCCTCCAACAATCAGATTTTAACAACACCTCCTGCACAAAAAGCAGCCAGAACCAAAACCTCCTCAAAGTTAAAGAGCAAAGTGGAAAGGGGCTCTTAAAGATGAACTTCAGAAAGCTCAGCCCACGTCCTGCTGCTCTGCCTGGGGCAAAATTCTCCCAGGAAGGCAGAAAAGTTCTCCTTCAAGTGAAGTTTGGGAGGATCTTCGAGTTCCCCTGAGCAGCAGCAGCAGCAGCAGCAGCAGCAGCAGGAGGAGGAGGAGGAGGAGGAGGAGGAAAGTGGTTTCAAAGAGGGGGAAGAAGTGAACAAAGACTGAAAGGCAAGAAACACCCCTGTGGTTTTCCAGTCAAGCAGTGTCTGTGTCCCAGAACATAACGAGGAGCTGACACCTCCTCCAGTGCTCCAGGGATGGGGGGGGGACCTGGCCAGGGTGTCCAGGAAGGTTTTCCAAGATTCCTTTGGGAAGCAGCGAGGCAGAGCCAGCTGTGAGTGTGTGCAGCAAACAGGCTGTGAATGGATGTGATGTGACTGCCCTGAAACTTTGGAAACATCTCCAGCCTGGAGGGGATGGCAAGGCAGGGGGGCTCTGGGATGGGGACAATCTGTCTGACAGAGCCAGCAGCTCCTGGAGTCACTCAGGAGTCACAGGAATGCAGGAGAACAGAAGGACAACTTCAGTCTGAACAAAACCCCCCCCTGGGCCTTCACTGGGTTGGCTTTTCCCTGAAAAACTTCCCTTTTTTTCCATTGGGAACCATTTCTGGCTGTAATGAAACCCATTTCAGTCAGGTGAGGTGTAGTGTGGCCTTCAAAAAACCCCCAACCCAAGAGTTTATCCTATCTACTACAGTGAGAAACATCCTCAGCAGGTTTCTAGTGGCTCCCCCCAACTTGTCCCAGATAACCAGAAGTTAAATGACAAGTTACAGCGAACAAATAAAATCATTTCCTGGAAGAGAAAGCCCAATCTTCCTTAATAGTGATGACAAATTAACTCCCAACAGCCAAAGTTTTTATATAAAAAGTTCAGAAATCTGGATCCAAATTCCTCAGCTGGTCCCTCTTTGTGAGTTTTAAGAAATCTTTCAACTCTCCAAGAAGTTTCAATCTAAACTCTGCAGACAAAACTCTCGTGTTTCCAGAGTTCCACAGTGAGAGGGAACAAGAAGTCGTCATTTTTTTGCCAATCCCTGGAAAATATCAGGGAAAAATAACAGCCAGGACATGAACTGGGCAGTCCCAGAGGCAAAACCCTCTGCCTGAATGGGACAAGAGAATAATTCTTATCAATCAAGTAAACCTCCAACTTGACTTGCTTTTCTGCAGCTTTGGGGTGATGTACAAAGACATGAAAACCTAAAATCATGTTGATTTTTCTCTATGCAAGTAGAAAGATATCCAGACAGAGCAGGGAATAAATAACTAAAGGAAAAATTAAATAGATTTAGATTTCTCTCCATCCTCCCAGGGAAGAAAAGAGTGGAGTGATCTGAGTAACAGGAAAGAAGATGGTTAATGGTCAATATTTCCCATCCCAGATCTAAAAGGCTCCTTGAAGTCCAATCTGTTAAAAACCTGGATCAAGGGAGGCTCTAAACCAAGGGGCAAGAACTGCCACAAATGGGGGCAGGGAGGAAAAAAAAAAAAAGAGAATTCCTTTCTTCTCTTCATCTCCCACATTCACAAGAGAGACCTTTTACAGCCCTTTGAAAAGCACAAAGATGAAGTTTTGTCCCAAATCCCAGACACAGGAATGGACCACGCAGGGCACAGAACTCAGGGAGGATCCCAAGTGCTCTGTAGGGGTTAAAAAACCAGTGAAATCCTGACAAAGGACTGGGGAACTCTCCACACCTGCCAGCTCAGGAGCTGCTGCTTCCCAGCAGGAACGGCTGGGATCTGCTCCACTGCGTGGGCTCATCAGGGATCACAAACACAGCTAAAACTCACGTGGAAACACCACTGGACACATCTCCCACTGCTGAGCCTCCCCCTTGGGTCAGACCCCCCCGGTGCAAATCACTCCTGGGGCACATTTACACCAAATCAAATCCCTCCTGGGGCACATTTACACCGGGCAGGAGCTGCTGGGAGTGCAGCAGTGAGCAAACTCGGGGCAGACAACAAGAATTCCAGCAGGGATTAGTGTCACAGGGAAAGCAGGGCTTAGGGAACGCAGTCCACAACAGTTCCTTTTGGTGTTTCCCCCAAGGAAAACTCCCGAGGGAGCGAATGGAATGGCAGGAAGGATCACCAGTCTGGAAGCAGCAGCGAGGGAGGGGGTTGGATCCTTCCTCACTGCAGCCCCTGCTCCGAGGACACAACGCTGGATTTCCTGGTTTTTGGGGGTGGAGGGGGAGGTTTGGCTTCCCTCCTGCTGGGCAGCGGTGGAGCAACCTGAGAAGGAGGAAAACACACAGAAAAATGAATCATTACTGGTGTTTTTGCTTCCCACCTGATGAGAGATCCAAAAGGTCCCGATGCTCCTCTCGGGGCCAAATCTCTGGATTCAGCCTCCCTGACAGGGGCAAACAAGGACACATCCCCAGGAGCTGACAGGAGCAGATATGTTTTAGTTGTTAAAATACGCTTCTAAATACATTTCAACCGATCCTGACCTGCAGCCCAACTTTGCCAGCTCTGTCCCCACCCTTTGTCTCTCAGTACAGTGGCCATAAACCCATCTCCTCCCACTTCCAAAAGTGGATTATTTTTATCTCTGCTGGCTCGATGAGCTGCACCAAGCAGGGGCCAAAAGGACGTAAAAAAATGCTTCCAAATCGGAATGGCAATGAAAGGGGAGCAAGTGAAGCTCTAATCAAACAAGCCCCATCTTGCCTCGTCTGGCACAGGGGGCTTTGCAGGATGTTGCTTATTCTTGCAGAAAACTGCATTAGTAGGTTCTTTTTAGCTGCTTCTCTGCCTGCTTTAGGGGGCATCCTGTAAATAGATGAGATGTGAAAGGCCAGGTGAGCCAGGAGCTTGTGTGGCCCCACCACTTCTCAGCCAAAACCCTTCAGAAAACCCTTTCCAAGCTCTCTCTGCAGAAGAGACAAATCCTTTTCCTTTGGCTGCAAGCCAAGGGCAGGGTTGCAAGCCAGGACATGTTAATTATTAGTTTCCTTACAAGACTCCAAGGGGAAGAGGCTCTTTCATTAATCCCCTGGAAAACAGCAGCTCCCACAGCACATCCCCAGGGGCTGGAATATCTCTGCCAGTCACAGCAGCACAGCCAAAATCCCAACCAAAGGAAGGGCAAAGCACAAAACCCCCTCCTCATCCCACACTTCAAGGCTTTGTGTCGCTGCCACATATCCCAGTGGCACTCCTGAATTAAGGGATCAACTGTTTTCTCATCTTCCTGTGCTGCCAGGGGTCAGATATTTATGAAGTGTGATCATTCCTTAAATTCTTTTGGGTCCCATTCCAGCTCATCTCACCCAGGTACTCCCCAAATCCTCTTTGCAAACTGGGGATGACATTCACGCCTTTCAATTAGAAAAGGTGCTTTTTAACAGGGCCTGGGGAGCCTCCATCCCCCTCAGATTATCCCCAAACCTCAGATTATCCCCCCCCACTTCTTTCTCAGGCCCAAATCACTGCCCTGTTTCACGCTGACCACATCTGGGAAACTTTTCCATCGCGGTGCTTGTTGGTTTTCAGTATCTCTTCCCACCCCCACACACCGTTTTCCAGACCAAGGGCAACACAACTCCCCCTTGGAAAAAAAAAAACAAAACAAAAAACCTGGAAAAAGGGACTTCACTCGACATCCTTCTCCTGGAGCAAAAAAAAAACCACCCCTTTTTCCTTCTTTTGTGGTTTCAGGGAGTGAAGCAGTGAAAAGATTAGACAAGACTCGAAGCAGCACCACCCTCGAAAAGCAGCTCGGAAAATTCCACCGGTGCCTCTTTCTCAAAAGCTGTTTTCCAATAAAAAAAAAAAAAAACAACCAAAAAAAACCCCCACCAAAAACCAACCCCCCAAAAAAACGTCAGCTCTCATTTCCTCACCTCTGCAGAGTTCCTGGGGTTGCTGTTCTCGTAGGGTTTGCTTTTGGGTGGAGGGGGGGGTGGGGTTGCCAACCCGTCAGCCTGCAGGGAGGGGAAACCTGAAAGCAACAACGATAATGAAAAAAGACACTGAAGTGGGTGGGAAAAAAAAAAAAAGAAAAAAAAAGAGGAGCAGGAAATGGGACTGATTCATCTAGTATCTCCTGCTTTCCATCTGCCAGCAGCCCTCTCTGCTCTTTAGCAGCTAAACCTGAGTGGATCTGCTGGAGCCACAGTTGTGCCTCCCTCGAGTTCCAAACGCCCAGAAGAGCCTTTTTCCCTCCAGCAGATGGATGTGAGCTGATGTGAGACCTGCAGGGAGCTGCATCCATTAGCACATCTGCTGCCTCCAGCCCACAACTCCCTGCCTTTTAACTCCACCTGATGGAGGAGATGAGGACCAGAACTCCAGGAGGATTCTGGCCCTGCTCCCGAGGGCAATTAAACCCCCTTGCTAAGTGGGAGAGCGGAGTGAGGGTTCAGGTTCCTCTCACGGATCTTTCTTCCAAGTATTCCCGACTTTGTTTGTGTTTCTGGTTGTCTCCTCACCCCTCCTGTGAATTTTTTGGTTAAATCCCCTCCCAGCAGTTTTATGCTGATTTGGTTCATTAATTACCTACACTGGATCTTGAATTTATATCCCCACACCGACTTCTGCTCCTTTAAGAAACTTGTTGTTCACTTTGCTAAATCTTCCAGGCAAATTCCATCTCTTGTGGGTGGAACTTCACCAGCTCCCTTTCCAAGCTGCAGAGCAAGTTCTACCAGAACTTTTTTCCTCCAGTGATAGGAGTTTGTTCATTAAATAACAAAGCCCTCAGGGCCTTGCCCAGGCTATTCAGGCATCGAGCTGATCAGAAAATACCACCTGGGATTGCTGGGGTTCCATCCTGCCACTTATCCCGACTTGATTTATCACCTGCATTGACTGCACGTGATTTAAACCTCGAGGTTTAATTTACCTTCCACAAGCCATAGAGTTCTGGAACGGTTTGGGTGGAAAGGGACCTTCAAATCCATCCCTTTCCACCAGGGACACCTTCCACCAGCTCAGTTTGCTCCAACTTGGCCTTGGACACTCCCGGGGATGGGGCAGCCACAGCTTCTCTGGGAATTCCATCCCAGCTCCTCCCCACCCTCACAGGGAAGGAATTCCTTCCCAATATCCCACCTAACCCCACCCTCTGGCAGTTTGAAGTTGTTCCCCCTTGCCCTGGCCCCATAGACTTCTGTAAAAAGTGTCTTTTCAGCTCAGAGCCACTTTGTGTGATCTAATGCAGAGCATTTCCTCCCTCCCTCCTTCCCTCCCTCCCCAGTGTGGTCACCTCAGCAAATACAGACCAATTTCTAGCACTTACTCTGTGTCCTGGGGGTTTTGGGGGTGATGGGAGGTGGGCTGCGAGTCGACTGCTGCAGTGAGGAGCCCTGGAGCAAAGTCAGTCTGTTGTCCCCCAGCTGGAGACTCTTTGGCCTTTGTGCTTTCCCTGACGTGCCCTGCTTGGGACAAGGACAAACAAACCCTTCAGAAATCAGCCAGGCAATATCAGCCTGGTTTTAGTGGCCTCAGAGTATTAACTAAGGCAGGAGGGTGTCAGTTCTGTGAAGAAATCTGGCAGGGCATCTTTCCAAGATGTAAAAAACTGAATTTCTGGGGGCAAGGTCAGGGCTGCTGGTGTCACCCAGCTCCCTGGGGCTGTGAAACCAGCCTATTTTAGGCTTTCCAGGGCAAATCTTTTGCATCTGGGACTCAGGAGAAATTCCAGTTCCTCCCACTGTCATGTGTGCCCTCTGTGCCCTTCACCCATCAGGCCCCAGGAGTCAAGTGGCTGAATATCAGGGACCTTTTAAATATCAATCTCTTGTTTTACAGAGCAGGCTGTCACTTAAACATGTAATTAAACTCACTGGGCTCTTCAGAGCTCAATTCTCCATCCCTGGGATTCCTCCTTGCACGGAGGAGACTGAATATAAAACACTTAAAGCCCAAATCTGCTGGACACACAGCAAGCCTTTGCTTCCCTCTGGCTCTGCAGCTCCCAAACAGCTCAGCCAGGAGCTGCACAAAAATCATGGGGTTTTTTTCCTCCCCTGGAAAGCCTGTCAATACCCACTGACACCATCCCAGCTCCCCTCTTAATAAACATCCTGCAGTCTCCAAGTGCTTGGCAGCAGCAGCACCACTCAGATTTGATGAGAGTTCCTGAAAATGCAGGACCTGCCCCTGCCAGATTCCGTTGGGAACTCGAGAGAGAGAAAGGGAAACACGAGAATTCGTGTTTTCTCATTATTTACACAGCCTGTGTTCAGTCAGATTAGTCTCACTGAGCTGAAATGCCTCGGGTGCCCAATCCTCTCATCCTCCTGACAGTGTGGCACAGCCTTTGCATCCATCAGGAGAACATTCCAAGGTTCTACAGCTTCACCTGTGGGCTGAAACTTATCCCTGAATCCCCCTGCCAGCCCTCCTGCCCCACAGCTCCCAGATATTCCTCCTCAGGGGGTAGAGATTGCCTTTTGTTCCTCCCCTGCAAATAATCTGCTGCAGGAATAACCACTGAGCGGGATAGCAGGGATTGCTCCCAACCAAACCAGTCCTGCAGGGTGCTGAGAGCATCCCAGGGGACCTCTGACCACCAGTGGGGCAACTCAGCACCTCCAGGAAGCACCAGAGCCCTCCTGTTCCCACTCTGTCCCTCCAGCCAAGCTGCCCTTGGGGCTGTGACATGGATTTTCCACAGAAAAAAAAAAAGCATGGCTCAGATGACCAAAGCTTTTGGTATTTGAACCCCTCCCAGCGTCTGGAGCAGTTCCCAACCAGCAGAGCCTGGCTGGAGGAGATGGGAACGCTCTGACCCTCCTGCTGGGGGTTTTGGTGTTGCTGTCACCCTTATTGCTTTACCATTCTGGAAGCTGTTTCTGTTTCTGGCTCCTTCTCCACGATAACCTGAGACTTGCTGATGCTCCACTCCTTCCTCTTGAGTTTGCTGATCCTGTTGTCGCCCTCGTCTTTCGCTGGCAGCTCCTCAACTCTGGAGGATGTCGATATTCTTCGCTCCAAGAGAGGCTCCAGGATGGATCTGTGGCCCCAAAAGAGGGGAAAAAAAACACGTGTCCATCAGGCCTTTCAAGGGCTGCCTGTTAAAGAGCTGCCATCTCCTGGTTTGCATGGGATTATTGGGGAAAACAGGACCATGAACGTGGGTTCTTCCCCAGAAATCGTGAGTATTATGTCTGTATAAAATCACATTATGGATAGCAAGTCCCCTAAACCCTCTGCTCTATCACAGATGTAAATTAAATGCACAGAGTGTTTCCACGTGTGGAAACAGCTCCAGTTCCACGGATGCAGCTGCAGACAGGGGTGGAAACAAGTCCTGTGCTGTGACTTACCCACCCCTTTGCTGACCACACCAAAACAAACCCCTCACACCTCCCGTGTCCCTGGGAAAGCAGAGACAAGGTGTGTGTCTGAAACACACCCTGGTCAGATGATTTGGGCAGTGGGTTGGACTCTCAGAATCACCTCCATCCGTGCCCCAAACTCCCCACCCATAAAACATTTCCAAACTAAAATCCTTGCAAGCTCAGGGGGCGAAGGCTCTCACTGACCCATCGGAGCCTGGCCTGGAGGAGGTGCTGTCAGACGAGGTGGAGGAGGTGGAGAGCACGGAGGAGGCCACAGAAGTGACGGAGAGCCTCCTGAGGGTGGAGGACATGATGTAGGGCAGCACCACGGAGCCCGACCTGCTGGGCTTCCTCTCGGTCAGGCAGGGCGGCTGCAGAGGCAAAAACAGGGCTGAGAAACCACACCCCACCCCTCGTGGGGGTTTGGAAAAGGGAGGTTTGGCATGCTCTGGAGGAATAAAACCCAGGCTGGCTCACCAGGGTGATGACCCCGTACTGCTTCTCCACCTTCCTCCTGAGCTCCCTGAAGCAGGTGCTGAGTCGCTCGTGCAGCGGCTTCAGCTGCTCCGTCAGCTTCTCCCCGTGGATCCGGATCCCCTCAGCCAGCAGGGGCATCTGCAGGGGAAAACAAAGTTCCAGGGGCTCAAAAATATGACCATTTTCCCTATTTATCCCTGTGGTGCCAAGGTCTGGGTGGAGCAACCCGGTCCAGTGGAAGGTGTGGAATAAGATGGGCTTTGAAGTGTCCCCCGCCTAAACCCAAACCATTCCATGATTTTCCCCTCTTCAAGGCAATTTTCACCGCCCTGAGGGTCAAACCAGCGGTCACACCAGCAGGTCTGATGATTTCACCAAGAGGTAACAAGATATTTGGATCCTCGGGAGGGAAAAGCCCCCGCCCACCCCTCGAGCAGGTATTTCCAATCAGCACAAAGCACACAGAATATTTTGGGCCCTAATTTTAGGATGCAGAGGTTTCCTTAAAATAAAAAATGACTGTGCACTGTCCAGGTTCTCTCTCTCTCTCAAAAAAAAAAAAAAAAGGATGATGAAAAAACATCTGCCCTCCCAATCCTTCCCCAGTTCCATACCTGGATGGCGATTTGTTGCTTCAGCAGCTCAATTTTCTCTTGATCTTCAGGATGTTCCTGAAGGTATTTCTCTGTGAAAAAGGCCTGAAAGTAAAGAGAGGGAGGATGACAAAGGGGACACAAACCCCTCCCTGCTTTCCCAGGGGGAGATCCTCATAATTCAGGAGCAGTTTGTTGCCATTATTCCTCTTATTATGCCAAATTTTGCCCTCTCCCTGCCACCAAGCTGAGGGAAAAGGAACCAGGGTTACTTGTGGAGAAATGGGGAGGGAAAAAGGGCTTTTTTTGTTTAAAAAAAATAATAATTTTTTCTAAGTGAAACACACTTTTTAAGAAGTTACTTCCCCAGAAAGGTCTTATTCAATTCCAGCTCCCTTCTCATGAACCAAGATTGATTCGAATAACCAAGGTTATTCAAGGATGTGCTGCAGTGTCCCACTGAAAAGGATCACAATTCCTGGTTGGAAATATTGAATTTTCCTTTTTTCTTTTCCCCCCAGATAAAATCCCTAATAATTTTTTAATTTGGCTTTGAAATGCAGCATCCCTGAACTATTTCAGTGGTTTGTTTTTTGTTTTTTTTTCCTTCTGTGTGCCATTAACTGGACTGTGTGGACAAGTGTTTATAGGGCTGGGGGATGATCCCAAAAAAGGAGGTGAGCCTGGGAAAGGGCTGCTGAGGAGGTCCCAGAGGAACTGTCTGGAAAGTGGTCAATTATTGCGAGAAGGAAAATGTTAAAAACGCAGGTTTGGGCTTTCTGGCTCCAATGAAACAATTAAAACTCAAGATTTGAGCCGCCCACAAAAGCCAAACGTTCTGATCTCCAGCTGAAATAGGAAAATCTGAACCAGAAATGAGTATTTCCAGATGTGGTCACTGATACTTTGTGTTTCCTCGTTTCAACTGCCCTCCCACTCTCGTAATTCTAAACTCTCTGTCAACCTTAATTCATAAAATGGGAGGATCCAGGGCCAAATTCAGCCTGGCAAAGGGTGCAGCTCCTCTGGAAGGAGCAGAGTCAGACCCCCAGATAAATCAGCCCCTCTCTCCCACTTGACTTGTGCACTTCATTCCACGAGGCTGCCACACATCTGAGAACAATTAGGTGTGTTTTAACACCATCTCCTTAGTTTAGGGAAACAAGCACTAGATTTTTGTGCTGGGAACAGCACTGGGAATCAACAGCTTAAATTAAACATCACAAAAAAAGGAAGGACCTACACTGGGGTCAGCTGGATAAACCTGGGAGGGGGAAATACTGATATTTTTTCCCTGGAATATTTGCTTGTTGCTGCAAGACTCTACTGGAAAGGAGGCCTGGGAGAGCTGGATCATCCCCCCCCATGGCAATGCAGAGCACTAAAACTAAACACTCCCAAGGTTTTCCACCCTGTAGGCAGTGGGAATCTCTGCTCTTTGTTCTTCTCTGCTCTCCTTTGAGCTCTGAACACACAGGACATGGGATGGAAACTCAGCTGAACCTCCCAGGTTTCAATCCAGGCCTTTCAGCACTGCAGAGGTCACAGAACTGAGCTGCACATCAGAGGAATGTGGAATGCTTTGGGTTGGAAAGGATCTTCGGGATCAATTAAATCCCACGGGCAGGGACACCTCCCACTAAACCAGGTTGCTCCAAGCTGGCCTTGGGCATTTCCAGGGATCCAGAGGCAGCCACAGCTCCTCTGGGCACCCTGTGCCAGAGCAGGGGGGGCTCCCCAAACGTGATCAGGACCTTCTCATAGTTGGTGTATCCTCCCATCACCGCCGGGTCCACGATGCCGTTGAGGAGCATGGACAGGGGGTGCACAGGGAGGCTCCTGTCCCACATGTGCTGCTGGACAATGTTGGTGATCTTCTCGTTGGTCAGCTCCATGGTTTCTATGGCATTCTCCAAGGGGCTGATCTCTTCCTGATGGAGTTAAAAAAAAAAAAAAAAAAAAAAAAAAACAGAATAAACCATGTTAGAATAATCAAATATTTCTTCCTGGGAAGGTGGGGAGGGGCTGGGATGGAATTCCCAGAGAAGCTGTGGCTGCCCCTGGATCCCTGGGAGTGCCCAAGGCCAGGCTGGAGCAACATGGGCTAGGGGAAGGTTGTCCCTGCCCATGGCAGGGGGTGGAATGAGAAGAACTTTAAGGTCCCTTCCAACCCAACCCATCCCAGGATTCCACGATTCTTTGATTTATTCCTCTCCACTGAACACAAAACTAAGGAACTGAAGTTGTGCCACATCCAGTGGTGGAAGGACCGGCAATCCTAACAGTTCCAAGGGATTCCTGGAGGGATTGGAGAGCAGGAGATCCAGCCCCTCCCCAGGCAAAACTCACCGTGGTGACCTGCTTGACCTCAAACCACTTGAGGATGCCTGGAAATGAATAGGCTGTGGTGTAGGTTGTCCTCTCTATCCACATAGTCTGGTCAGAGAAGGGAAACAAAAGAGAAAAAAAGTGCCAAGGTGTAAGGAAAATCTTTGCAAAGACTGCAGTGCCCTTTTTTTTTCCTCCTACATTTTAATACCAAACCTCCCTGGCCACAGGTGGGGGGAGAAAAGTGACAGTTTTGGTCAAAACACCCCCAAGAAAACAAACAAAAGGCAAAGGACTCACAGCAAACTCGTTGTCTGGGTCTTTCTCTCCTTTCCTGACCGGTCTGGAGTGTGTGAATTGCTGCACCTCGTTTGCTCTGTAGTAGCTGGAAAGAAGCAGAGGGAGTGCTGAGTTTCCTCACCTCCCACCCTCCTTTGCATATAAATATTCAGCTCTTTCTTCTCCCAGCAAAGTTTAAACTGGATAATAATTTACACAGGGCACAAAGGCCTGGGCTCAGGTTAGTTGGGGAAAATACAAAGGGAACGTTGAGGCAAAAGGAAAATGAATTACTTCAGGATCTGTTCAGGAACAGGTTTATCTTTGTAATTAGGTGGCAGGTTCATCACAGGCTTCACAATAAAGCACTGCACATCTGAGCAGCTCCAGTTAAGGCTGAAAAACCAGGAATCCTTTTGGTAAAAGAGGGGAGGAAGAGAAATACCCTTCCTGTTGTCAGCAAGTGTCAGATCCTCCCCAATTCCCTGAGCTCTTGTCATGTTCGAAGGAAAACATGAATCCATCACAAAGCCCAGAATTAAAACCAAGGCCTGCCCAACACAACAATGATCTGGGCACTCAAGACTCCTCATCTTCTCAGAAGGTGTTTGGAGGAGCCTGAGAGGAACCTGTCCCAGATCCAAGCTGTGCAGCTGCTCCCCTTTCCTCGTGGGGCTGTGCCAGAGACCCGGAACCGAAACCCCCCCGAACCTTCGGCGGAGTTCAGATCTGGATCCAAACCTTCGCAGTTCGGGTTCATCTCGAGCCAAAAAAACATTACAACAAACACAAACAGATGCAAAGGAAGTAGCTGAAACAAAGCAGCAACAGAAGAGGTATTTCTGATACCAAGTTTGGGCTTGAGTGAGTTTTAATTTCCTCTGTGGATTTTGGGCTTGGCAGGATTATTGCAAGGGAAGCATCTGGTATCACTGCCTGAGCTGGGCCTCTGTGTACAAGATTTTAAGGCCAAAATGGACCATCAGATGCTCCAGTCTGGCCTGTTCAACGCAGGCTACAAGCCCAGTAACTTGGTTTTTTCCTGCTGTTAGTCTGCCAGGAGCAGCCCTGTCAGTGATTGGAGTCACGAGCAGGGATGGGAGGCATCTGCACCAGCTTGCTCTTGGTCATGCTCACAGTTAGGAGGCTCTTAAGCCCAGTGGGGTGCTGTGACACAGCCTGGAGCTCCACCAGCAGAGGGGCAAAAATAATAAGAATGAAAAAAATAGTAAGAATGAAAAAAACCCACTGAGAATAAAAACCAGTAAGAATAAACCCAATATGAATAAAACTGAATAAGGGTAAAACCCAGTCAGAATAAAACCCAATTAGAGCTGTTCGCCCAACAACTTTCATCAATATAATCACTCTGGCTATCCTGATTTTCCTGCCCAGTGCCTTCAACCCCCCCCCCCAGAGCAATAATCTCATTATTGCTGGTGACCAATTCTGGGCAAGAAGCGGCTCCTGAACGTGCCCAAAATGCATCAGAAGCAAAAGATACACTGTTTAGGAGAAGCCTTGATGTCTTCCCCTGGAGGGGCAGTGCTGGTCATCTTCTCAGCACTGGGGAACTGTGTCAGCAGCTTCAGGTTGAAATCCTCCCTTCGCTCGTACTCTTTGCCACGGTAGATGAAGATTCTATTCTGCGGGGAGGAGAGGAGGAAAAGGAATGAGGAGGAGCTTCTGGACATACCCAGAGCAGTCTGAGAAGTCTGGTTTATGTGAGGGGATGGTTTTTAGGCTCAACAGGTAGAAGAGGTGAGGGAAGAAACGGGTTGGAGTGAGAGCACAGCAAGGCCTGGCAAGGGGAAAATCAGATTTGTCTGCAGGATACACAGGGAATCAGAGAATAGTTTGAGTTAGAAGGAATCCTTCAGTCTGAATGAAAAGGGATCCTTCAGCTGGAATCTCCCTGTGCACACACAGGAGTTTTCCCTGCCCCATTCATGACTCCCTTCACTCCACCACCCAAATGTCCAGCCCTGGCAATTTTTGCTCTACCAGCCCATGGCCAATTATTCCTCCAGCCTGTCCACCTGGCACTGGTGCTTCTTGGAAGGGAAGGATCCAAAAACACGCCCTGGAGGCAAAAAAAAAGCCTTCTATGCCATTCCACCACAATTAACACTCTCCTCTTTCATGAAGCTTGGCTTCCACTGAAGGCCAGAACTTCAAACAGCTCCAGCCTGAGAATGGAAACGTTCCTGAATTTCCAGGAATGTTTTCTGGCGTGCCCATGGGACTCATTCCTGTGCTGCCAACGCTCAGCACCTGCCTCAGACAAGAAGCACCTCTGCACTTTTAATTATTCTGTGTGGCACAAACTCTCACTAATGAAAATTAGGCTGATCCAAGCTGAGAAGATACAGGATGAATTCTTCTGGAAGATTCTGTTTAAATCCATGTAAGAACAAACCCTACTGCAATGTTCTATTCAAGCTGGTAACACCCATAATTTCATCTCTTACTTGTCCCTTTTTAGACACTGAAATGCTCTGGAATGCTTGAGGGATTTTTAGACCTGTCAGCGGCACTCGAAGGAAAAGGAGTTTGGCACCGAATTCTCTTGGAATCTGTGGAAAAGTTGGGACTTTTGGGGGTCCCCAGCACTGCAGGAACGGAGTGTTGATGAACTCTTACCCGGAGGAAGGAGGGGAAACCCTGCCCATAGTAACCAACAGCAAAGTACTCTGGCTGAGGCCTCATTGCCTTCATGATATTCTCATAAAAAGTAGCTCTTTTTTTCTGGAAAATAAAACAAAACAAAACAAAACAAAACAAAACAACTTTTTCAGTCATGAGGGCTCCAGGACACTGCCAGGCTGGAGCTCCCAGCAGCTCTCCCAGACAGAATGCACTTTACATCCTTTTTTCGTCCAGTCTCTCCTACTTGTCCACTGAGTTGATTAAATATTTGGTTTGTCTGGGACCAGAATCAGCTTCATTTCCTGGCTTGCAGGCGTGACAACAGTGGTTTTCAGGATTCCACAAGGATACTTGAAATCCTCAGCTACTGGAGAGCCAATTAAATATAAATATCTTCTGAAATGGTGACAAATGTCAGAGAACTGGCAGGAATCGAACTGGGCAGATGATCCTCGTGTGGAAGAACATAAAGACCATCTGGTTCCACCTTTAACTTTAACTAGTAAAAAATATTATTCAGAACCAAGAGGTTTCTGTAGCCCTGTGTTTTTACAAAGCAGTTTTACCACAGAAACAACGAGGTGAGGAGATTCAGGGAGCCTGAAAACACACCTTGCAAACGTGGCTTTATTTGATTTAACAGCAAAGACTCCTAAACATCTGCCCATGGTACTGCCATGCTAATTAGGAGGGCAAAACCTGCCTGAAAAAAAAAACCTATAAAAACATCATTCTGATATTAAACTTTACAAAGCCATGGTGGGTTATGCTGGTTTGGGTTTAATATAAATGTGGTTTTGGCCTGTCCTGCTCAAAAATATTAATTTAAGCAGTTTGGGAGTTATGTTGGTTAATTTAAATGGTGAGGAGACTGAATGGAGGGGAAAAAAAAAAAAAGTCTTACCAGGAGATTGCCAAGCCCCTCGTAATCAAAGACCTTGTTCTCATACATGTCAGCCAACTCCTTGCTCAGCTGGATGGCTTTTTCCCACATCTCCAGCGAGGGTGAAGGGAGGCAGGAGGGGAAGAAGAAGAAGAAGAGGACAAATAACATAAAAGACTGAGTTAAAAGCATCCATTACCACAGACAGGTGAACATAACTGCAGCTGATTCTCAGCCAGGCTTTGTGCTTTCATGCCCTGCCAACTTTCCCCCCTTGTGATGCGCATTTTTGGCAGCAGTTGTATCACAGTCACAACAAGAGCTTGTTCATCTGAAGGTCTGAAAGGCATTTACAGGGAGAGAGGTTTCCACTGCAATCCTGAGGGGGAAATCTGAGGCACAAGGGAGGTGCAAGGACAAGTCCAGACAGGGGATAGAAGCCCAGGTGGTCTCTCCTTACAGCAGCACTTCCAACAGGCTTCCTTGGCTTTGTCTCATCCCAGAATCATGGAATGGTTTGGGTTGGAAGGGATCTTGAGGATCATTTAATCCCACCTTCCACTAGCCCAGGTTGCCCCAAGCTGCCCTTGGACAATTCCAGGGATCCACAGCTTCTCTGGGAATTCCATCCCAGCCCCTCACAGCCCTCCCAGGGAAGAATTCCTTCCCGTTATCCAGCCTAAATCTCTCATCTTGCAGCTTAAATCCATCACAAGGAGACATTTGGCCCCACTTCTCCCCAAGTGCAGCCACACAGGATGGGGACCAGCAGACAAGCCAAAAACCTGACACCTCACCCAGGAAAAGAAGGAAAACACCCCTTGTTTTCTGTAATACCCAGTTATCCTGAGCAGGGGTCATTTGGCAGATGCTCCTCAACCCAACAAGGAAACAGAAGGTTCAAGTATCAGAATCCCACCTGCTGTCACCCCTGTCACCAACCTCAGCCAGTGACATCCACTGATCAGAGATTAAACACTAAATACAGCCTGGAGTCACTTTTAGAGCCAGTATTTACCATCCCAGCAGTGTCAGACACTCACTTTGCCCCTGTCAAAGAAGGAGATGATTTCTTGGTAGAGTTTTTCCTTCAGCTCCTGCTGAGAGTAGACGTAGAAGCTGTCCCTCTGCATGAGGTGGGGGGCACAGGGCTTCTCAGACCACTGTTCAGAGGGAGAAAGGGGAAAAAAAATGCTTATTTTCAGATGAATTAACCCCTACAGTGGCTCTTACAGGGGTGCATCCAGGACAAATCATCATCAGGAAGCTTTGCAGTGACACAAGCTGAGGCATTTTCTCCCAGCTCCCTATTAGTAATCACTGATATTAATAACATTTCATTTTATTCATTCAACTGCTGTGCAACTCGAAAAATTCTTGGAGCTTCTCGATGACCTTTGGGATGCAAAGTCACATTATAAAAAAAAAAAAAGGGGGGGGGGAAAAAGAATTGTGTAATCTGAGCTGTTTAAAAACCCCAAACCCTGGCAGTGGGAATTCAAAGTGGGCTCGGGGTGGGGGGGAGGCTACCTGGAGCAGCTCTGCATGGAGCAGCAGGGTGTAAGCTGCCTCTGTGAAGTTCTCACAGTCCGTGTGCAGGTCCCGCAGTTTGTAGAGGTACCTGGAGGAAGGAAAAGCTGCTGGACCTGGGGGGTGGGGAGGAACCCATGGACAGGACACCAAGGGAACAACACACACAGGATTCTGGGCAGGGTTCTGGAGGGGAGCAACCTACCTGATGTAAATGTCCTCTCGCTTCTTCTCCTTGTAGAAGTTCTGCCAACAGTGGGAAAAGTCAAATTTACGACATAAAGCACCATAATCATCCCTAGACAAGTAACCTGAGCATCAGTTTTAAAGACCTCTAGTGCCATTTTGGCTGCTCAGGTGTATATATCCCTGGTTTGGATGTTTTAAAGATCTTTGCTGTCATTTTGGCTGCTTAGGTGTGTAAATATATATATATATATATATATATATATATATATCCCTGGAATCATCCTTTTAATACAAGGTGGGGTCACCACCACCTCCAGAAAAGGGGCAAATCACACAAAATGACTTGCCCAGAGCTCTTGGCAGTGGAACAGGGACCCAAACTATCCACCAGGCATCTTTCCTGCCTGTATTTCAGGGCTCCAGATCATCCCCTGGACAAGGATCAGCCCCATGACTCGATTTTGGACCTGGGTCCATCTTTCCACGCTCACAGCCTGACAGCCTGATTTGGGCCCACCGTAAACCAGAACTGGCCCAAAGAATGAACCAAATGACTAAAAACCAACTCCTTCAGGATCCCCAAAAGCTCAGGAGGCCAGGCCCAGCCTATCCCCCCCCCTCCTACCAGCAAGTTGACGGTGCAGCTCATGCGGTTCTCCTTGCTCTCGTCGTGCATGATGGTCCTGTAGTCCAGCAGGTTCTCCAGCAGGCTGCTGACCAGCAGGGCAAACACCTCCCCGGGGGCAGCCAGGTATTTGTGCTTCCTGCAGTGCTCCAGGAGCCTGCAGGGACAGCCAGAGCCAGCAGGGAATGCTCAGTTAGGGTTGCGAGTGGCGGTAAATCCAATTTCGGGGTCAGCGCTGAACCCACCCCACCCTGAGAGACCCAGCTGAGAGACACGACTTGCTGAGCAAAACCAGTCAAAATCTGTGATTTTGATTTAACTCTGAGCCTGCTCTTCTCAAGCTTTTCCACTTTGGCACCTGGGTGTGAGTTTTGACCCCCCAGTTCAGGGCAGTTGTGAGAGTTGCTGTAGAATAAACCCATCATTTTCAGGCACTGCACCACCTCCCTCCTCACTGGAGCAATGAATTAGGGTCTCTCTGCGTGAGAAAAACAGCCCAGTAAACTGTGAACAAAGTTGTGTAGAAAACTCACAGCTTCTCCAGCAGGATCTTGTACTGCTCGTCCCCTCGGCCGCCCTCCACCTCCTGGTCCAGCCTGGTGATCAGCTCATTTTCAAACTGCAAAGGGCAAAAAAAACAAAAACCCCCAAAATTCAATAAAAAGCAACTTCTCAGGGTGCCAGAACCAAGTCCTGGGGGATCATCAACACCCTGTGATGTGCAGGGCAAGGAAATAGTCTCACATTTAACTGTCCCCAGGATATAAATATATATGTTGTACACTTTTTAATATCTATTTATACATAATATATAAATATTATGAGGATGGAAAATCCACTGTCTGCAGCAAAACTGCAGTGCCCCCACCTTGCCAGGTGAGATGGGGATGTCTGGTATTCCCAGGGGAAAGCTGGAAGAATAAATCCTTCAAAACTGCAGTGAAAAAACTCAACCTCGGGGCAAAAGCGAAGCTCCTTTTCCTTCCTCGCTTGCTGGTGCTTCCCAGCAGCAATAAAAGGACAACTTCTAGGGGAAATTATCCCAGGTAATATTATCCCAGATAAATTATATTGCATATATTGTGTTTTCTTGCATTCCACGTGTGCAGGTATCGTATATTTGGGATATTCCCTTACCATATGGAAGTTCCTGTTCCCACTGAAGTTGAACTCACACTGCATCATGTCAAAGAAGATGGGAATTGTGGCTTTCCTGAGCTCAGGCTCTGGCACCAGGGTGACCTCCAGGATTGGCCCCACCATGGCTGGGATGAATTGTATCTTGTTGGGACCTGCAGGAAAAGCCCAAGTCAGAAATACCCAAGTGGCAGGATTTGGAAAGCCAAACGTTTCAGCACATTGTAAAGAGGATGAAGCACAAAAGCAGTGCCCAGAATGTGTGTTTTATGTGGTTAATAATGGCTGCTTAAAGCAGAATTAACACCACCACAGCTCCACGACTCAGCAACACTCCAGGAAACAATTGAGCTGGGTTGCAAATCACATCTCTGAAAAATCCCACTTTTCCTTCACGTGGCAGAACTCCCTTTATAGGCAACCCAAGCCATTATCTCAGCAGCTGAAGTGAGGGGAAAAAAAAAAATTAAAATCAGCTTTTGCAAGTCGTTCCCAGCAAAAGGAAAAGGGATTTTCGTGTGCTCAGGGTGCATTTCCCCACATTAAACAGGGGCAGCTTCTCTTAAAGAAATAAAGGATTTGAAACCCAGGTTTGAGAGGCTCAAATAAAGATCATCCTTTGGCTGGAACTCACCCAGGTTGTACCACATATCCCTTATCTTGAAGCCAATTTCTTTCCTCATGTCCCCATACCTAGAAGAAGGGATTAAAAGGGCAGAGATGACAAAATTTGGGGTTACCTGAAGGATTTCGTGGCAAGCCTACGAATGGTCATTTGTGACAGGAGGCTGCAGAGTTGTGAGGGCAGGTTGCAATTAATCCCACCCCGAATTTTGGGGTGTTTGGTGGTTTTCCCTGAAGCTTTCACTGCTCACATGGAGGTTTAATTATCAGGCTTCTAAAAAGCAGGAAAAAGGTGGCAAACTTGTGGGTGCCCTAATAAATCCTGTGTCAAGAACCTCAAAGGTGGTTAGGGACTTGATTCTAAATAAATGAAGAAGTGAAAGCTGCTCAGTCAGTAAAAATGGGGGGATTTATCCCCACTTTTTCAGAAAAACCGAAGGAATAAATCCCCTCCTGAATTAAAACACCTCCCTGGCCCTGAGGGTTCAGGGGGGGACGTCTGGGAGCAGCAAAAAAACGAAGAACAAAAATAAATCAGGCCAGGTTTGAGATGTGAACTCACTTCTTGATGATCTTGCTGCGCTTGGCCTGGGAGAAGGTCTCCAGCTGCAGGGACTCGTGAGTCAGGAAAGCCACTGCCAAGTGGAAGAAGTTATTCCAGAGCTGGGGAAGAGAAAACTAAATAAAACAGGGGCTAAAAGAAACCGGGAGAAGGCAAAGCACCGACCAGCACAGCCCCCAAATGCTGCTGGTGCCCTCCAGGAGGAAGAAAATCAACATTATGAATGAACTGGGGAGCTCATTAATAATGTTAATAATGTTAATTGTGGGATTGATTTATTCTGGTCTGGGGGCCTTGAGAAAATCCAGGAGCAATGGGGGAAAAATTACCTGGAGCTCAAAACCTTTCTGATCCAGAAAGGCCTGGTTGAGGACGGAGGTGAATTGGTTCACTGCCCTGAGGAAAACCCTGGAAAAGATAAAATCAGGGATGAAAAGTGGCCCTTGAAATCAAAGAAATGGCACTGCAGCTCTGGGTTTTGTAAGTCCAGGAACAGATGTTCCCAAAGAAGGCAGGAGTTCCTCTAGAATCTCTTCCACCTCTTGCCCAGTAGAGGAACATTCAGGGAAAGTTATTCCTTGGTTTAGTGGCCTCAAGTCCCACCAGGGTAGGTTCAGGTGGGATATCAGGGGAAGTTTGTTCACTTAAAGAGTGGTGAAACATTGTCCAGCACTGGCTTTAGGTTTGCCAAGGGATCCCCCCTCAGCACTGACACCAAAAAGTCATTTTTGGTTTATTGGCTCTGATTTATTGCCACTCTCCAGCTGGATGAAAGACCCCGTGGTTTGTGAGAGGGGTTTCCAGTCCCATCAGCAAAAACCCCCAGGAAGCACAACTCACTGAAATCTGATTTAAATCACCCAGAAAACGGTTAAAGAGAATAAACCTGCTTGTGTGAGTCCTTTCAGAACCACAAAGGGCTCCAAAGCAAGACTTCAAATGTATAAATAAATAAAATTTATACCTGCTCTGCATCATGTTCATGACCATCCAGTCAGGTGCATACACGTTTTTTCCAATCAGGTCCTTGAACATAATGAATGTTTCCATCAGGAAGTCCTGTGGCAGAAACAAAACCCAGAGCCCATCAGGCTGCAGAGATATTTTTTTATCCACGTAAAAACCCAGGGAAGTGCAAACGTTTGCAAGTGCATTGATTAATGACTGCATTGATTGACAATCAATACCCTGCTCCCCCCCCCCCCCAAGAAGGAGCTCTCATTGTGTGGGTATATTCCAATAACTGAATTATTTCTGACAGCCCATCCACTCAGTGACACAAGGAGAAATAAGCTGAGCTGGTTAATTAAATCTGTCTTCACTGGTTTGAATTAGGCCCTGTTGGGGGCAGTCCTGGTGCACAAGCTGGATTAAAAAGCAAATTCAGGGACTGGTTTCCAAATCCCTGAATGATGACAGTGCAACAGCTCTATGCAGGATCCTCTGTTTTATCTAAATTACAGCTAAATTATAACGTACTTATTATTAAATTCTATTAGTTAAGTCTTCTCTGGTCCAGTTTAAGAAGGATACCTAAAGACAGGTAGTGGACATGATGTCAGACACGTGATTTATTGTCCAAAAGACACTTTTTCTGTTCTCTAAACAAGACTTAAGACTTGGGCAAGGCAAGGTTGAATTGTGGAATGAGAAAAAAATGAAAAGGCAAAAAAGAAGAGAGAGGAGCTAAAGAAGGGAATATCAAGCATATTGATCTCTACATTGTGGTCTCTGCAGATAGGAGAGCACTGAAATCAATTCTGGTCTCTACAACGACACCACATCAGCATTAAAAATGAGAGAGACACAAAGGAGGTCACAGGAAAAACCACCCCATTGAAACCACCCCCAGCAAAAAAAAAAAAATTTAAAAAAATCCTCTGTTGAGCTGAACAGTTTGCTCAGAAAAACTGGCAAGTGATGGAGAGAGAGAGAGAGAGAGAGAGAAATGGGCTCCTGGTGCTGCCTCAGTAACAACCCTTCAGGCCTTATTAAATCAGGGCTTGATGGAAAGGTTTGGGCTTGACAAGAGAGCACCTTGAAGAGATGAATTAACTCCTCCCAGTGTTAAAGCAACCGAGCCACGATGCAAAGCAGGGCTGTAAATGCCCAGAGCCAATAAAAGCCACCACCAAACAACAAGAACGAAGCCAATTCTTGCAGTGAAAGTGTTCTGCTGGTATGAACAGCTCCAACACCAGCAAACAGGGTGGGTTTCCTCAGTAGATTTAAAGATGGGTAAAAATTAGATTAGAAATCGTGATTTTCAATCAGTGTCTTGTTTAAACCCAGCCCTGCTCGTGGCAGGGGGTTGGAACAAGATGATCTTTAAGGTCCCTTCCCACCCAAACTATTCCATGAGGCTATTCTGGAATTCTAAATGATGAGCAGGTAGTTTTAATAATTACATTAATAATAATGGCTTTGATTCTGGTTTCTTCCTCCACAACAAGTGATTTGGGTAAGAAAAAAAGCAGCTCTGAGCCCACAGGAAGGGAGAGTGACCTGTAGATGGCTGTGTTGCTCAACTGATGGAAAGCAACTCCTGAACTGCACAGGGAAAGGGATCCCCTTGGCTTCCAAAATGAACTACAAAACCTTCCTGAGGGTTTTGACACAGGCAGAACTCAACCCCAGCTGGTATTTCAATAACCAAGCACCCCCCCAGTTGCAAAACAAAGGAATGAGGGGGTAAAAAAGCCACGGGAGTTGCTGTGTCATGCATCAGGGAATTGCTTTAATACTGGGTTTGATCATTTTGGGGAGTCTGGAGAAAAATCTGGGCACAGCTGGTCGTTTTAAGGGCCTCAAAAAAATAAAAAGCTGGTGTTTCACCTGGTTTCATATTCAAAGTCTTTGGGGATGTGAATTGTACACAATTGTTGCTGTTTTGGGAACTATCTGCAGTGCTGGATATTAAAGCAGGATTGAAGGATTTAATTAAACTTTAGAGGAGGGGAAAGAGTCAGGCAAAGAGAAAAGGAGCACAGAGTGAGAGAGGGGGAAATGCTTTTCCTTTCCATCTTCACTCCCTTTCCTGCTTCCTGACTTTAAACAGTCATTAAACATGTTTTTACTCCGTGCCACAAATGCTGCTCTTGGGCTCTACCGAGTCACCACCACCCAAGAATGAATCCCCAGGGGCTGTGGCATCAGGAGCCCAGGACTCACTGCTGATGGATGTGGTTTAATCAGCCCAAACCCCACACAGCAGCTTGGAGTGACCTTTCAGAGAAGCAGAGCCTGGACTGAGCCAATTCCCCAGCCAGGCTGACTTACAATGATGTCCTGCCTGGTTTTGAAAGTGCTGATGTAATGGCTGTAATGGCAATCATCCATCTGCCTCAGGATGGCTGTCATGCAGGCCACGAAAATACCCTGCAGTGGGAGAAACAAAACCCTGGGTTACTCTCCTGTGGGAAGCACTGGAAGCTCCAAGTGTTCTCAGAGTGACCTCATCAAGGACCACTGAGCACAGTCCTGCATCATCCCAGTCCAATTCTCTGATTTTTCAGGGTCTTTTCCAACCTGATTCTCTGATTTTCAGGTTTGGCATGGCTAGCTGCGATTCCCACGGGTGACCTACTGCCACGACTAGAAAGTTATCAAAAATATATTCCCAGCTCTTGATTTTTTCCCCATCTTTCTAGGCATGAGAGACAAGGAAAATTAAGACACTCCAAGTGCTTACACCTTCCAAGATGTGCCAGCAATGCCCCTTAGGGATGTGTCAATCCTATTCAGCCAAGGTGATAAAAGAGCATTTTTTCCACCCTGGCCTCACAAAACCACCCAAAGCCACGTCTGAGCGGCACAGAAACCCTGCAGGGAAGGGCAAGGTGATCTCATAAACCACTTGCTACATGCTGAAACCTCCCAGGGGGACAAATTCCACTCTAAAAAAATGGGGGAATGTGGGAAAAGCCAAAGGCTCTCACGATGTGAGGGGACTGTCGGCTCATCCCGATCACCGTGCGGTTGATCCTCCTCAGCAGGCGCTCCATGATCAGCTGGATGTGGAGAGCTGTGGGGCCCTGGGGATGTGCAACAAGCAAAATCAGAGACCAGTCTTTTCCCAGCAACTCAGAATCCACGTCCACGTGGGCAGAGCCGTGATCCTCGTGCCCATTCCACAGAAACCAAACGCATCCATGGCTTGCTCCAAATTACTCAGCAAGCCACCAGAATAGCTGGGATAACATCTTGGTCCCCAGAAAGGGAAGCAATGGCTTTTAGTACTGTGTGATAATGACTAATTCAACCTTTCCTGCCTCCTTTTGGGACACAGCTAAAAAAAAAACTTGTGGATCTACAAAGAACTGCCCAGCAGTGCAACACGATTTCTGTAAACATCACAACTTCCTAATGCTTTAAAGCATCAGTTGAGATGATTTTTCTTTTTTTTTTTACCATAACCACTTTAAAGAAGAACTGGCACCCTTGGGGAGTTCATGCTCACCACATCTTTCCTGTCCAGCACTTCCAGAACGCTGCTCAGCAGCTGGGAACTGGCCTCGTGGTCAGGCCTGTGGGAATTGTCATCCAGCTGCCCACTCAGCTGGTCGATCAGCAGGGGCAGGAGGGCATCTCTGCATTCTGAAAAAGGAGACAGAGACAGCACCACGTTATTTTGCCCTCAGGAAGACCCTCAGCATTCAGGGTACACGGGAACCAAACAGGAGTTTTCCGCTCCCAGCTTCAGCTTGGACACCAAAACATGTTTAAAGCCACTTGAGTTACAACCAGCAGGTGAGAGGGTCATAAATAACCTGTAATTAGAATCGTGGAATGGACCTTAATGATCATCCAGTTCCACTCTCTGCCACGGGCAGGGACACCTTCCCCTAGCCCAGGTTGCTCCAACCTGGCCTTGGACACTTCCAGGGATGGGGCAGCCACAGCTTCTCTGGGCAACCTGTGCCCACAGGGAAGAATTTCTCCCTAATATCCCATCTAAACATTCCTCTCATTTCTAAATTGCATGCATTGCATCAAACAGCAAACTCAACAGTGTTGGGAACTGCATAAAGACCAAACAGCCAAAAAAACCCCTGCAGTCCTTCCACAGCAAGGGATGTTTCCAAAGATGGGTTTAATGGTGGATTAGCACCGGTGACTGCCATGGCAACTCACAAGGCACTCCTGTTTTTAAGGCTGTGTGGCCCCATGGAGAATCCATGGATTTCCCTGTGCCACTCACCTGCCTGCCTGAACAGATCACTCTCCACGATCTTGGTCAGGCAGTTCAGCTTCTGGCGCACCAGCTGATTGTCAGGAATGCTCTGGATGAACTTGCTGAAGAGGACGCTGGAGTGCAAACCACAGAGGGGACAGATGGTCAGCACTTCCACCCAATGCCACCCCATCCCACACCCACCCTGATCACAGAATCCTGGGATGCTTTGGGTTGGAAGGGACCTGAAAGATCATCCCATTCCACCCCCTGCCATGGGAAGGGACAACTTCCACTAGATCAGGTTGCTCCAAGCTGGCCTTGGACACTTCCAGGGAAAATAAAATAAAAATAAATAAAATAAATAAAAAAATAAAACAAAATAAAAGCTGATTTTTGCAAAGGCCCAGCAGCCCAAACTGCTGAAAGTTGAGACATGTACAACAACAGCAAAAGCACATCCTTCCAGATGCCCCTTTCATCGAGAGTGATGACTCATTTCAGTCCGAGATTCCATTCAATTAAATTCCAGGCACATTTGCTGTCTGTCTGCTGCTCCCGAGCAAATTATTTGTGTCAGCACGAGAAGACAGGGATGGGCAGTTCTGGGCAAGGCTGTGAATGAACACACAGCATCCCAGGATGGTTTGGGTTGGAAGGGACCTTAAAGATCATCCCATGGGCAGGGACACCTTCCACTAGCCCAGGCTGCTGTTTTTAAAGCGAAGTGTCCAAAATTCTTCCCACCCAACTGAGCTGGGTTTAGAGGACAAACAAAATTAATCCATTTACCTGAGCTCAACGGGGTCAAACACCAGTTTGACATCATTTATGATGCTTGGCAAATACTTCAGAGCTGCCCCCTGCAAGAAAAAAAGAAAAAAAAAAGCCCAAGGACATGAAACACTCGTGGCACATCTAGTTTTTGTCAAGAGCAGATGTGGGGGCAACTGCAGGGAAATGGTTTAGGGTCAAATTTCTGCTTTCAAAGAGCCCCCAACAACCCCACACGTGCAGTGCAGAGACAAGTGCTTTTCTCAGGTGCTCTTATCTTCAGGAGATGCTGAAGGGGTGCTGCTCTTTTTTACTTGATAAAACTTTTGGTTTTAATTATCCCCTTCCTGCCACACACAGACATTCAGAGGGGTGACTCACCTTGAAGGGGTTTTACATTCCTCAAAGCCTGTTCCCTTCTCTGGCCCAGCTCCCTCCCAGCTGCAGGGAGTTAATCTAATAGAAGATATTACTTTTACTACTTCTGCCTGCAGATCTTGCTCACCTTGATCTTCACAGCCTCCTCCAGGGGCCGGTCCATGAGGACGTTGAAGGACAGGAACAGTTGGCGAATGGCATCGTTGAATTCATTCCCATCTTCACTCTTCCCATAAACACTACAAAGAACAGGCACATAAACCCAGGATAACAGTGCCAGAGCAGCTGCAATGGGATTTTATCATCTGCAACAACATCTCAGCGCAATCTCCTTCCACAGGCACGTGAGGGGACAATCAGCGTTGGAGCTTCTTGCAGTGATTTCCTGCTGGAATCCCTTATCGTGGAAAAACTCCACTGTTTGAGCTGCCACTGCAGCAAATTCTGCTTGGGTTCCAACAATGAAGGCATTCAACAGAGAAAAAGCCAGAATGAACACGGGTGGAGAACTCCACCCTACAGGATTCACTGCAAATCTCTGACAAGATGTTCCAGTAAAACCACTGCCATTCACCACCCCCCAAATGGAGGAGGTGCCACCCTCACCCCACCTGAGTGTTTGGGGGGTGTGTGTGGGTGTGTGTGTCTCTGTTTAACCTAAAGTTCCTTAAAATGAGGAAATCATTCCATGTTTTCCTTTTTAAAATAACTACTGGGCTCCTTTTCAGCTCCCTGCACTCTCGGGGGGTGAGTGAGAGGATTCTCCTCTTCATATGGGATATTCCAATTTTTTGTTTGATTTTATTTCTTCCAGCTGTAAGGCAAAGGGCAGGAAGGTCCCCTTAACGAATAAGGGATAAAGATAAGGTGAAGAACATGGGCTGAGTGGAAGAGCTGCAAGAGGAGCCCCCAGGATGGCAGTGGTTGGGGTCTCACCTCAGGTACAGCACCCGGGACTGGACGATGAACCTGAACAGGTACTTCAGGGCTTTCAGGGCAGCAAAGAGCAGTTCTGTCTTGCTGGAGTCCTCAGCATTCCCCACGTAGCAGTTCAGCACTTTGGTGAGCTTCCTTTGGAAATCAAGCACACAAAAGGAGAGCTAAAACAGACACGGGGCAGTTCCTGTCCAAGTCCAGCTTCCTTATTCCAGAGGGGAACTACAGACCAGTGAACAGATAACCGAGGTTCCTGCTCACACCCCATTTCCTCCTGAAATCTTTGCCTTCATGGGATGCCAGCTTTTCACAACCACTTCATGAGTTCTCACAGTCTACAAATCTGGCTGCAAATCCCACCTTCTTCGTCTGCTTTTTTTCTTCCCTAAAAATGAGCTGGAAAACCCATTCCTCCCAGAGGTGACTGGCACCTTCTCCCTGGGTTATCAGCCTCAAGTGTGAGGCACAAAGCTCTCCTGAAGGAATTCTGAACTGCAGACAAGTGGTATAAACACATTATGTGTATTTTTTAATCATGTCTCTGCCACATCAGAAGATCAGGATCCTCCCTGAGCGCCAGGGCTGTGAAAATTCAGGCAAAATCCCCTTCATTAATCACCTCCCAGCACCCAAAGTAGTGTGAGAGTGGCAGCCAAGCTCTTGCTGCTCAGTTTGCCACCCTTTCAGCATCCAATTCCCCCCCTTTTTCCCAGTTCTGGCATGTGGAACACACAAAGGATGCTGTGGAATACAGACATTTTTACAGGGTATAAAGAGTAACTACAGGTTTTCTTTCTGTCCTGTGAAAGCAGAGAAGAATGGGATGGGAATCTCTGGTCTCTGCTGCTTTTATCACATCACCATCACCAAAAACTATCTAACAAATGCCACCACTACCAGAATTAAAGACTGATCACATCCCATGTTATCAGCCTGGGGTGCCAATACTCACACATATGCCAGGGTGGCACTGAAGTGCTTGTAAATGTAAGTCTCGAGTACAGCGTTGAAATGCTGGAACTTGATGTCTCCAATCAAAGAAATAATAAATACCTGCCAAGAGTTCAAAAGGAAACACATGTACAGAGCTGCACAACCTCCAACTCCAGCAGTACTCAGTGCATTTACAGGTTTTGGTTGTTTTCCTAACAGCATTAACGCCACAGAGAGTGTTACTGATGTTCTAATAGTCACAAAACACTGGGTGTATTTATTTCTTTATTACTATTTTCACTGTGTGTGTTTCAGTCCTAGCTCTGAAAATGCCTTGAAGAAATGTTTAAATGGAAAGGAAAGGAAAATACCAGTTGCTCATCTAAAGGCATCACCAGCACCAGGCTGAAAATGTGGCTGGACATAAATACTCTAAATCCCCAAAAGACTCACTCACCAGGGCATCAAACACAAGGAAGTCATAGGTTTCATTCTCTGACATCTCCATCATGATGTTGAAAAGTGCATCCAGGGTGTCTGGCAAAAACTAGAGGAGGGAGGGGGGAAAAAAAATATACCAGTAAAAAAAATAATAGTGAATAGCAGTAAAATAACAAGGAGGCTCAAAAAACCCCCCAAGTACCTTCACAATTTCCCCTCCTTCCACCTCCATGAGCTTCCTGAGGTTGTGGGCGATGTTCTGCGAGTTGGAGCGCCAGTTCAGCAAACCCAGCAGGTCAACTGGCAAGGGCACAACACAACGGCAGCAATTAGCAAATTGCAACAGCCCGGCTGACTTCGAGTCTGGAGGGTTATTTTTAGAAGCAGGGAAGAAGGAAAAGTCACCCCTGATGAACAGAACGTTACACCCTGAGGTGGTGCTTTTGTCCTGGCAAGGAAGGGGAGTTCTGCTATAAATGGAAACCTGGGTGCACGAGGCATTTGGAGGCAATTCTGCAGGTTTCTCATTCACCCAGGGGAGGTGTCTCAAGCCAGGAATTTTATTGGAGTGCCTATCTTAGCCCAAGAGCCTTCCAGAGCTGCTGGAGGTCTCCCATCACACGCGGCACTCGTTCCCACCTGCACACCCCTTCATTCTGGCCCCCCCCCACCCTTGGCAGCATGAAAAGCAGATTTAATGTTCAACAGCATCCTGGAGAGCTCAGTTCTAACTGCTACTCCCTTTAACAGCAGAGGAGGGAAGATAATTAACCTTAAACATCCATAATTCAGGGAAAACATACACACTGTCACTGGGAGGTGCCATTTCTCCTCAAGGATTTAACAAGGGGAGTTGGGACAACAACATTCCTGGGATGTGGCTGCACAGACTCCTCTGTAGCTTGTACTGGCAGTGTGATGCGACCAACACTGGGACAGGGCTGCCACTGACACCCAAACCAGCAAAATCAGAGCTCAAGGACTGCGCCCACCCATCCTGCAACGCCCAAACACACCATTTTGGGTCAGCTTGGTGGAGCAGATCACGGTGGCAATCTGGAAGCTGTCCTTTGTGCTGTCTTTCGTGGGGGTAAAGTTGGCCAGATGGTGCAGGTTCTTCCCTGGGGGAGCCTCCCTCTCCTCCATCTCCGTTTTGGTGCAGGGAAGACTCAAGTAGCTTTTGGCATCTTCCATTTTCTTGTTGTCACCCTGGTCGGTTGAAGGCAGCAGAGAGAAGGGTCATGTCACACTGAAGCACGCTCATCTGAGCTCTGGCACTTCTCATCTGCAGCCAGACTTCAACACAGGGATGGACAGAATGGATTTGAAGCACTTTTTAACCTCTGGAATTGTTTGGGCCTCTCACTTTAGGGAGTGAGTTGCCCATGCAGCCAAAGGACTAAGATATTTTCAGAGATCCAAACCACAGAGTTTAGGAGGGTCTCCCCTCATCACCCACACGCTTTGCAGCTGGGAAAAATCAGCCAAGAGAGTGTTTTGCTCAGTTAAACAAGAGGCAAGGCTGCAGATGCCCAGGTTACCTTGTAAACAATCAGATTGTGTTTGCCATCCTGCAGCGTTGTTCCATCTGCATTCATCAGCTTCACAAAGCCCATGCCAAAAGCTCTCTCAGACCTGTCCCTGGCTGCAAACACACAGAGGAATCTTTGTTGGGAGCTGCCTCATTTATGTGCATACAATCCACAGTGCAGCCCTCTAACTAAAGCAGCAGCTGCTTTATTTATTAGACTCTCAGGGCACTTCACAGGTACCTGCAACTACACAGACAAACATCCTCTTTGAAGCATCTCTCACCACACCATTTTAGGGGCTAATTGTGCTGATGGCTGGGCAGATTAATGGCTGGACTCCATGATCTCGGAGGTCTTTTCCAACCTGAATGATTCCATGACACACAGTTGTGGAGATATTTTTTTGGTGGGGGTTTTGCACATCTGCTCGGCAGGAATGGATGTGGAAGTCACTGCCTCTCCCAGATGCCTTCAGAGGATTTTCTGGAGAGCCCTTCAAGGGCTTATCTCTCACATTATGATCTTGTTTCAGGGCTCTGAAATTGTTTGATGAACCTTCTGGCTCTCACTTTCTCATTAGCCTCTCATTTACCTAATTAGAAATCCCCCTATAGGAAGATCAAGCCTTGCACTGAATTTTGTCAAAGCCTTTACATAAATTAAAACCAAGACCATACACTGAGAAGCCAGAGCAACAATAACTGT